CTTACCTCATAGTATTATTATGTTTAATCGCATACATTTAACAATGTTTCCACTTTCAAGCTTTTAATAGTGGTCAAGACATCTCTAAACTTCTTACTCGAGTCTTTCATTGAAACAAAGTTTTCTAACTATTCCTCCATGATGGTATGGATACCTACCTTTGGGTATTGATACCAAACCTAAGGTATCCATACTTACCCTAAGTATCGATACCAAAAAACACCTTAAAGTTCAATTTAATACCCATGGTATCGATTCTTCCACACAAGTATCAATACTACCCTTCAGATGTATCAATAACAAAATAGCTCTCAACATTTATCAAAATAAACCTAGTATCAATACCCTTATCCAGAGTATTGATACTCATCTTATGGTACCAATACCAACCCTAAGTATCAATATCAATTTAAGCCCTGAAGTTTGACAAATAAACCATGTATTGATATCACTACCTTTGGTATCGATACTCGACGTACATTATTTATACCTCAAGAACATTGTATTGATACTATCCAACTACATCTCAAATATTGACCCTCGTATGAATAATATCAATACTAAATCATTCAGTATCATTACTCAAGCACATAAATATCTTGTATTTTATGGGAATCTCATCCCAACTCTCCTCAATCACGTATCTAAGGCCTTATGGTGATGTTTAAATCTTATGAGAATCATATGGGGCCATAATATATCATTTTTATACATGAATAACAACAAATCCTTCTCAAACCAATCCCCAAGAAAAATGCACACATTATGCTACACACACTCATACAAGCAAACAAGCTACACATGTTGATCTACAAGTGTTATAGTTGAGTTAGAAGTGTGACACATTACTCCAAAACAGCCAGAATCCCTCTTAGCTTAACCAATCATAAACATTTCATTGTTCTTATCTTTAAAGCTTTGTCCCACTTCTCTCACTAATCAACAAGCAAGAAACGAGTTATTAACTTATCTAGGAACTTGAAAAGAAGTCAAAGAAACTTCCTAGATACTAAAATACAATCAAAATGGGTTGATTAAGTTCAAGGGTTCTAAAACCTATTCTAAACCCTCACCATGGCCAAACTTATAGAAAGAGAGCTTGAATTGAAGCTTTAAGTGAGGAGATTATATTATTTATCTTTGTAAACTTGGACTAGGAATGTTGGACAAAAAAGTTCTTACCTTTAATCAAGCTACCGAGAAGAAAAGATATATTATAAAATGAAATATTTTTATTAATGTGTCACGTTATCAAACTAACGGCATTTAACGTCTAAGTGACCAAAACTTAATAAAACGATAACATTCCAAAATTATTTAGAGATAAAATGGTATTTAAAGTTATGGGTCAAATTAGTATTTTATCTCAGGTTTAAGGATTAAATTTAAAATTAACCTCAAATTAAAAATTACACCCTTTTTAAAATAATATATCACATCATCAAACTAACCACATTTAACGTTATATTGATCAAAATGTTATAAATCGATAACACAACTACACAAGTGACAAAAAATTATAAATTGATAACATAAGTGACACGAATATTATTTTAGTCACTTACATTATCATTTTATTAAATTTTGGTCACTTGAACGTTGAATGTCGTTAGTATGTGATGTGACACGTTAATAAAATGGTTTAATTTTTATTTTAACCTCCGGATTTTAGATAAAATACTAATTTGGACCTTTTTGTAAATCTAAAACAACTTAGAGACAAGTTTTTAATTTATCTTTTATAATATGTTTTTCTTCATCTTTGTCGAAACCCTAACCCCTTGTGTTGGCTCCCTCTTCATCTTCTTCGTCACCGATAATCTATGTTCGACTTTTAAGCATCCTTTATGAATATATAAAATAATCTAATATGGTCCGCCCCGAATCCGAAAGATTAAGTGTCACGCCAAATTCTACACTACTTCTTTGGAATTGATGCTCGATTTCGCAACCAGCATCTTCGAATCCAATGCCGATTTCAAGATCGTTGCGACGGAACATCATACGAAGTTGATGACACTTTTCCAAAACTATACCGTGTTAGAAACATCGGAATAGATACTGGCTCCGGTGATGGTGTCGTGTCACACCAAACCCTACCCTTATGTCGTATTGTATTGCCATAGCCAGTTGATGGAGAACAGAGTTTTTAAGGTATCATTGGGTGGTAAGAATGGTGATCGGGTGACCGCGCTTGCTGTTGTCACATGGATACTTTGCAGTGGAACCGAAACCATGTGTCGTTTCGCGTGATGGGGATCAAACCTGGGACACTTTATGTCTGCCTTTTCTTCCCGGTGGACAACTTTGTTCTTGTTCCGGACAATTGAATTTGAAGTACTTGTGTTTGTTGCGAGACATGTGTTGTCTCGAGTAATAAAAACTTTATAGAAGATAGATTAAATTATTTTTGTTTTGATGTTCCAATTATTTTTTCTTTAAAATTATATTTAATGTTATGTTTTGTTTTATTTTAGTCACCTACCATTTAGTTTGGTAGTTAAATTAACGAAAACAATGATATCTCATGGTTTAATAATAGTTTTAGTCCTCAAAATTTACACAGTGTATTAAATTAGTCATAATTTTAAATAATTCAATAGATTACTTTTGTCGTTAAAATTTTGACTTTCTGTTAAATTTTGGCCACGGTCTCGTTAAAATTTTTCTAAAACCCCTTTCGAATTGAAGTTACAATATCTTCCATGGGTAATTATAGTTGGCTTTCTGGAACAAGAACTTGGAAATTTACTGAATGCAAAGTGATGTTTTATTCGGTTACATGCATGCACCACGAGTCATGGTTTTCGTAAATCCGCCATCAAGTATTAATAAATTAAATCCTACATCAAGCATTAAAAAATTTAAAAAATATTTTAAATTAAAATATGAATCAAATTAATAGGATTTTGAAATATTGAGCTTTTATTGAATTATTTCAAATTATGATGAATTTAATAGAATATGTGAGTTTTGATGACTAATATTGTTATTATACTATGCCATAACATCATTTTCGTTATAGTCAAATTGAACATTGGGAGACAAAAATAGAAACGTAGTGTTAGAAATGGTTGTGAAAAAAAAAGTTGAGTGACCAAAACAAAAACATGAGAATAGATGGGTGACAAATAATTAGTTTAACCTAAAAATAATTAAGTCCTCAAATTTTATAGAAAATCATTTAAATTTTATGCCATATCATCATTTACATGTTACCTGTTTTCTTCAAAGCTCTAAGAAGATTAATACCAATAATCAAAACAGAAACATGAGAATAGATGGTTTGACTGGACCGGTTCGATCTAGCTGGATCGGTTTCAGAAGCTTCCTGGAGTGGCGGAAAAATCTCACGCGCACTATAGGTGCGTGACGGCTTGTACGGCGGCAACAAGGGTCGGAACGGACGGCCGAAGACTCCCGAAGCATTCTCACACCAAAACAATTCCAAATCAATACCAATAATCAACTAAAACCAAATAAAAATGAGAAAGGGAGCGATTGGAGTTCATTACCAATGGTGACCGAAGAAAAACACGATAACAGGGACACTGCCAACTGGGCCCTGACTGCGACTGAATGGGGAGCTCGATGGTGAGGGTGGTGTAATTCAACGAGGACGTAATCGACGTATTTTTAAAGAAATCGAAGGTGGTGGCTTGGTTTCCCATCGAACGCTTCAAACGTCGATTCTCAACAAATGTCAACATATCAAGGCAAGGGATAATGGGGGTTTTGATCGCACGGCACCGACGATCCCAACGACGGTGGCGGTGCACGACATTGCCGACCAAAGCTTAAACGATGATGAGAGAAGTGGTTTTGGACGAGGAGACCAATCCCTTACACGCACAGCAAGAAAGATAACTGAACCACTCCAGTCCTAACCCGATTATCACCTAGCTTTAAAGATAGCATCCCTAGTTAAACTATCAGTAGTCAGCCAATCAGCCAATGATCCACAAGAACTCGACTCACCTTTAAAATCAACCAACTTAATAATGTTAATCCGATCATCCATAACCCGAAAGATCAATCCTAGAGTCTCAATAATCCGATCATTAATTACTACAAAATCACGATTTAGATCAATATCAAGTTTTCTGTTTGTATTATTTTCGTTAAAACGAATATATATTGCATTTCCGACATTCAATTGAGGCGATTCAAGATTGTTAAAAAGATAACTGAAAGACCATTCATACGTAAGACACCATCTCAACCCAAAACTATATGAATATCATCCAAAAATTCATTGTAAGTCGCTTGATATTCACTTCAAAATCCACTTTAATTTCTTTTTTAAAATTATTATTATTTATTTTAAGTTAAATCTCAAAAATAAACATGAACACGTGTGTGAAGATCAAACGTCATCCCCGATAGGTCCACAGAAATCTCTCTGACATACCCGGGTTAACTATAATCGTACCCATTCAACATGAGACGTATACCCAAGTTATACTTATACTTATGTCCATCTTGTACTCATCTCGGAGACATATTAAGTACTTAAAATGGTATCAGATTACCATACCCGTGTAACATAGTTTAATTTAATAAAAAATCAAAATTAAAAATCAAAATATTATTTAAAAAATTGAGTGCAAAAGATGAATATGTTTTTTTAATTAATGATTTTCTTTTCTTTTTGTCACTTTTACACAGAGCTTATGTCCAAATGAAATAATTTTTCATCAATTTGGAAATATAAATAGGAGACAATGCTTCACCCATCTTCAATTATTGATCTTTCTGGCCATATATATATATAAATACAACACATATATTACTTTGAATACATAAGATTCTTCTTCCTTGAAAGCCCAATATTTTATTAAACGATTACTTCTCTTTTGATGAACATAGTCTTCAAGCTGAACCTGAAAGTCAACAACAAACTTCTTTAATTCACAGTCTCTGCAAATCAACTATAGATTGATCCAATTTAAAATCCGTCTCAAAAGATTTATCTACTTCTACATGTTACTTAAACTTACCAATTTTCTTCGGATGGTAGAAAAAAGGAATTGGATTTATAACATATTCTTTTCCTGCATTGTCCATTTCCTGACCATCTATTTATAAGAGATAAAATAAAAGAACTATAAACCGATCAAAATTTAAATTTGTAACAAAAGATTTATCCATTTCTACATGTTATTGAAACTTACCAATTTTCTTTGGATGGTAGAAAAAAGGAATTGGGTTTATAACAGATTCTTTTTCTGCAATATCTATTTCCTGATCATCTATTTATAAGAGATAAAATAAAATAATTATAGACCGATCAAAATTTAAATTTGTAACAAAAGATTTATCCATTTCTACATGTTACTGAAACTTACCAACTTTCTTCGTATGGTAGAAAAAAGGAATTGGGTTTATAACATTTTCTTTTCATGCATTGTCCATTTCCTGACCATCTATTTATAAGAGATAAAATAAAAGAATTATAGAGCGATCAAAATTTCAATTTGTAACAAAAGATTTAACCATTTCTACATGTTACTGAAACTTACCAACTTTCTTCGGATGGTAAAAAAAGGGAATTGGGTTTATGACATATTCTTTTCCTGCATTGTCCATTTCCTGACCATCTATTTATAAGAGATAAAATAAAAGAGTTATAGACCGGTCAAAATTTAAATTTATAACAAAAGATTTATCCATTTCTACATGTTACTGAAACTTACCAACTTTCTTCGTATGGTAGAAAAAAGGAATTGGGTTTATAACATTTTCTTTTCCTGCATTGTCCATTTCCTGACCATCTATTTATATAAGAGATAAAATAAAAGAATTATAGACCGATCAAAATTTCAATTTGTAACAAAAGATTTTTCCATTTCTACATGTTACTGAAACTTACCAACTTTCTTCGGATGGTAGAAAAAAGGAATTGGGTTTATGACATATTCTTTTCCTGCATTGTCCATTTTCTGACCATCTTTTTATAAGAGATAAAATAAAAGAATTATAAACCGATCAAAATTTAAATTTGTAACAAAATATTTATCCATTACTACAAGTTATTGAAACTTACCAACTTTCTTCGGATGGTAGAAAAAAGGAATTGGGTTTATAACATATTCTTTTCCTGCATTGATCATTTCCTGACTATCTATTTATAAGAGATAAAATAAAAGAATTATAGACCGATCAAAATTTAAATTTGTAGCAAAATATTTATCTATTTCTACATGTTACTGAAACTTACCAACTTTCTTCGGATGGTAGAAAAAAGGAATTGGGTTTATAACATATTCTTTTCCTGTATTATCCATTTCCTGACCATCTTTTTATAAGAGATAAAATAAAAGAATTATAGACCGATCAAAATTTAATTTCTTAACAAAAGATTTATCCATTTTTAATTGTTACTAACTTACCAACTTTATTTGGATAGTAGATAGCAGGAATTGGGTTTATAACAGACTGTTGTTTTGCTTCTTTAGTTGTTTCTGTGTGAAACTTTTCCTTCGTTTCATCATTATATCCCTCGCCTGGCCCTTTTCTTGCTGCGATTGTGTTAGTAAACTGCATAATAATTAAGCAATTGAGAGTTTTTAATCATGAGTTTTATCAATATTTGATATTATAATTATTTTACTTTAATTTTGACTAAATTTGTATTCATTATAAAAATTAGATATTTAGATGTAACGTTGTACGTGGATAGTATAGTAATTTAAATTTAACTTTTTATTTATCAAATACTATTTTGTATTAATTTAACTATTTTATCATAAAAAGTACATATTTTATTAAATGAGTCAAAGTAAAAAAATTAAAACTCAACAAGGATCTCACTAGTAAAAGAAAAAAATTACCATTTTCAGAGGTACTAGATTTGATAAGCCTGTACATCCTATAGATGCAACTATTCGAATTCAGGATCTCTAGGGAGAATAATAATCATTTTTACTTAGTAATGGGCATGGGTCGGGTTAGGTTTTTGACCAACCCAATACGACCCAAAAAAGTATGCACTCACTACTCGAAATCTGACCCGACTTGAGCTTAATGTGATTTCACCCGACCCGAAATAAATATATTTATAAAAAATATTAATTTTATTTGATATAAAAGGAATCTAATTGAAAAAAAATATAGAGAGATATTATTATAATTATCCCTAAATATATAAGATATGATTACATTATTTTTAGAATCATATATTGTTCACAATAAATTTGAACTCGATCTGATCCGAACTTATTTTTTTTTTTAAATTTGGCCCAACAAAATCTGGTCAAGACTAAACATGTTAAATTCGAATCTCGTACCAATCCCTAGTTTTATAACTAAAACCACTACATGGATTATTAATTACTTGTTTTTCAAACATAAATGCTTAAGGAATGTAAAGAAAATAATGAGGAAAAAGAAAATGTACCAAAAGTATGCAGAGGAAAGCGAAGAATACAAGAGTAGATTTCATGATTGCAAAGAAAACCAAATAGCTTTTCAAGGATAGCTTGACTGCGATATCCGTTGTATCACGCACACATATATATAGGAAGGAAGATATCAATTAAAAATTAAAGAAATATAATAATATCTTTAAATAAGTGTCACCTAACCAATATTAAATAGCAAATTGTAGATATTATATTTTAATTGAACAAAAAGATAAGTAAGAGTCACGTTCGATTATATTATTAGGAAAAAAATTAAATAATCGAATAAATATTTCTATGATGTTTATAATTTTAATTGGTTATGATGACTCCTCTGAAAGGGCTATTGACACTGGTGGCGAATTATAGAGTTTTCAAGGAAGAAAAAGAAGAAATGATAAATTATTTTTTATGAAAAATGAGAATTTTTTTAAGAGAAAGAGATTATTTGATTTAAGTCTCTAATTAAATTAATATTTATATTCATTAATTTGTTAATTTATATTTTTTAATTTGTTAATATGAAATAATAGAGTACAATGATGATGATTCAGTGAATATATAGAGATTATGCTTTCCATATTTGATTAATTATTTTAAAATGTTGAATAAATGGTTTTAAAAGAAAAAAATTAATCCCTTTGATAAACCGTGTGACACTTAAATCAAATATGGTTTAAGGGATCAGTTAAGGTACAAAGAAGCTGGAATATAGGATGAGAGGAGAGAAAATGCGTTTGGATATGTGGATGGATAATCTCTTATTGTATAGATATGGGTCCTGACAAACGGATTTTGGGCCTAAATTTTTTTTTTACAAGACAATATGTTAATACAATATTGATCAAGTGGAGGAGGACCGAGATCTCCATTTTGAAGTCAAAAGAGAATTACTGATAAACATTTTTGCACATAAGAAAGCCATGCATTACATTTAGATACATATCTATTGAATTCACATTTCAAGCATCAAAGCATATTTTTACAGATTTTTCAAGAAAATAAGAGAAGAAAAAGACATAATTCAAGCCTCGAATAGAGGGATTTTTGTTCAAAGTGACTAAGCATCAAGGATTGAGGAGTCCAGTAAAGAATAATCATTACTTCGATGTGGGGGCACATTACCCAAACGACATGATGTTTTCAAAAGAATTTTTAAAGAAACTAAGCCTGATTTTTAGGGGTTTCTTGATGATGATTTCCAATGAATTTTTACAATAAGCTAAGCCTAATTTTTAGGGGTTTCTTGATATTTTCAAATGATTTTTTAGAAACTAAGTCTGATTTTCAAAGGTTTCTTAATGATTATTTCCAAAGAATTTTTAAAGAAGCTAAGCCTAATTTTTAGGGGATTGTTTATGATAATTGTAAACGAAATATTTTAAGAAACTAAGCTTGATTTTCAAGGGTTTCTTAATGAGTAAGTCCTTCGGGCCATCAGTAAGTCTTTCGAGCATGATGCTTAAATCCTTCGGGTCATCTATAAGTCCTTCGGACCATCCATAAGACCTTCAGGCAGGATATTTTCAACATTTCCTTTGCTCAATTCAAAACACTTCGAATCAGCAATGCCCCACCAGAGGGGTTAACATTTCCTATTACTCGATTCATAACACTTCGAATCAACTTAAGTCATTCGGGCCATCAGTAAGTCTTTCGAGCATGATGCTTAAATCCTTCGGGTCATCTATAAGTCTTTCAAGCAAGATGATAAGTCCTTCGGGCCATCCAAAAGACCTTCAGGTAGGGTGTTTTCAACATTTCCTTTGCTCGATTCACAACACTTCGAATCAGTAACGCCCTACCAGAGGGGTTCACATTTCCTTTTCTCGATTCACAATACTTCGAATCAGCAACGCATCACTCAAGGGATCAACATTTCTAGTGGAAAGATCATAATGAGAAGAACATGTAGCTTGAAGAACTGAAGATGGAGACTCAACCAAGAGAACGAAGCAAGATGACATCATTTGTAGTAAGGACTCGACGTCGCAGAAAGAGAAGAATTTAAATTCCCAGCGAAGAGTTCACAGCTTGACAATAAGAGAACACATTGAAAAATGGTGCTTTGTGTCTTTGCTCTATTCCTGTTTCACAGCAATGAGAAAAAAGGGGCAGTTGTAAGCACCATTTTTCTAATTCAACCAACAGACTCGGGCCTCAATCCAACCCATTACAAAACCTGGCACAAACCAAAGTAAAACCTAAACCAGTGCCCAAGACCCAACCAGATCCAAACCCAACCAGAACCCAGATTTGATACACGACCTAGGGCCCAAAACTAGACCCGACCCGGGTCTACCCTAACCCTAGGGTAGCCGCCTCATTCACCAATCAGCAGCTGCCCTCCTCTTCCCTAATCCCAGTCGAGGCCTCCACGCACGCCACTTTTGCCAACACTCCATCACCTGCAGAAACAAGCAAGAAAAAAACAAAGTTTTGAATCATTTCATTATGTAAAAAATAAGTATAAAGACCCATGCATGTAACTGTAAAGGAAGAGGGGTCAAGCACACTGTAATTTTCATTTTCAAAGCAATAAAACCACAAGCAGTCAAGGTTACTTTTTTCTGTTGTTTTAGTTCGAATCACTTTTAGCCCTTTTATTTTTTTGTACTATTTTTGGTTCTAAATATCAGTAAAAAAGGGATAGTTTTTTGTTTTCAAAATAAAACACTACCCTTTTTTCTAGTTTTGTTTCTAATACTAACAACATTTTGAAAATGAAATAAAATAATAATAAAGTTTTTTTATCGAATAATCACCATAATAACCAGTTTCATAATAAAAAAACTAAAAATAAAAGGGGGTTAGATCGGGGCTTACCTGAGTCATCATAGGTGTCACCGGAGTCGGCGAAACCCGAAGGGTTTCGGAGGGTTTCAGGTTATTTTTAGGTGGTTTTAACCCCTAAAAATGACCTAACATTGTAGATATACATTTATGGAGCATTTTGGGTAAATTTGGGGTTTTCGGTGGCCGGAGGTGGAGCGGTGTCCGACAGTGGGCCGGCCGAAACCAGGCGAGAGAGGAGAGAATCTCTCTCATTTTTTTTCTAAAAGCACGTTGCAAAAGAAAAAAAAGCCAAAAGTTGTATTTATAAAATGTTTTAGGGGAAATTTTCTTTTAGGTGCCCCTAACAATTCGCGCGTTTTTTGCATTCTTGTCACTGGAAGGGACTGATTTTGTGATTTTACCATTTCTGTCCATGCTTTATAATTTTTGGAATAATTTTCTTTTAGTCCCCTACTTTTAGCGTGTTTTTACACTTTAGTCATGTGTAGTGACCTTTTAAATTTTTTAAAATTGAGTAGACTGATTTTGTAATTTTTCCTTTTAATTTAACAGAATATTTTTATTCCTAAATAAATGTTATAATTGCCTTTTAGTTCCTGTAACTTATATGTGTTTTTACATTTTAATCCCTAAATCTGTTTATTTTTATTTTATTTCGATTTAGCCTTCAAAATTCGATTTGTTTTAATTTAGTCCTATTTTATGTTTATTTTGTTCCCATTTAGTTTAGTAATTTCACATATATGCAATTAGGTCCTTATTTTATGTTTATTTTATTTTTACTCTATGTTTTTACTACTTTTTTTATTATTTGATATTTTTTATTAGGTTTATTAAATGTCTCAATATTTTATAGTTTAAATTCTTAAATTTAGTTTTATTTGGTTTAAATGATTGAATTGATAAAATCAATAAAATTATTGGATGAAATTGTCTAATTATTGTTACTCTCATAAAATGTAATAATACCTAAGAAAATAAGAGGTAATGAGATTACTATTGTATTCCTAAAAAACTTTGTTAACAATTAGGAATCTTATATTATCTGAAGTCATCCAGCGATTTCAGTGGTAAAATAAAATGTTGTTCTCCTTATAGGTTTTGAATTCGAGTTGTTGTATTATTAATTAGTTAAGAAAATTCTGATCAGATACAGTTTTGTAATCACCCCAACTATTAAAAAAATCTTATATTATCTGACTGATAATGTTTTCTAATAACAATGTATAAAAAAGTTATATGATTTAAGTTATATTTTAACATTAATAGTAATAACAATGTATAAAAAAGTTATATGATTTAAGTTATATTTGACAATCTTGAACATTGGGGTGCTTCCATTGGTCTCTTATTGGCTTGGGAAGCTGGTTTTAAAAACGTCATTCTTGAAGTTGACAGTCTTGAAGCTCTTCATTTTCTGCGGTAATAAGAGGTAAAAAGATTATCATTGTATTCCTGAACTTTTTCCACTATTAGAAATCTTATATTATCTCACGTGTACAATGTTTGACCCATTATATTAGTATATGACTTTGGAGTAAAAGATAAATCTTTTTATTTATTAAATAATATATTAGACAAGTGACGATTTATAATAATAAATTAAGTATTAGATGGAAATTATTATCTATTATTTAATCTTATAAATGTGATATACAATCTTCAACCATTAAAATTAAAATTTAATTATTACTGATTATGGCATACAGAATATGTCATCACCAATTTTACTAATATATTTAAGACCAAAAAAATGAGGGAAGTAAATCCCTCAATATCCGTCGGTTGCAGCTTCACAGCAACCCATGCTGCTACCTCACCCCTGCACCACCAACCGAGATTAAATAAAATATGGGACTAAGAAACTTGAAACTATTTTAGTCAAATGGAGAAATGAAAAAAAATCAAAATGAAATCTTGTTTAACAAGTTTTGGTCACTTACATTATCATTTTATTAAGTTTGGTCACTTACGTTATCATTTATTAAATTTTGATCACTTACATTATCATTTTATTAAATTTTGGTCACTTAAATGTTGAATGTCGTTACGATGTGATGTGGCACATTAATAAAATGGTTTAATTTTTATTTTAACTTCCGAATTTTAGATAAAATACTAATTATGAGCCTTTTTGTAAAACTAAAACAACATAGAGACAAGTTTTTAATTTATCTTTTTTAATATGTTTTTCTTCATCTTTACCTAAACTCTAACCCCTTGTGTTGGCTCTCTCTTCAACTTCTTCGTCACCGATCATCTATGTTCTACTTTCAAGCATTCT